TTAAACAAGCCCCCAGACAATGGTACAACACTTTCTCTAATCATCTCACGTCTCTCGGATTTTCTCATAGCAAATCTGATCCTTCTCTCCTCATTCGCAAACGAACCAACTCTCTTATCTTTCTACTTATTTACGTCGATGACATTCTTCTTACCGGCAACAACTCACAAGATATCAATAATCTTCTTCATCAGCTAAAATCAACCTTTGCCATCAAACATCTTGGCACGGCCCACTCCTTTCTTGGAATTAAAATCACTTCTCAAAATCCAAATCAACTATTCCTATCGCAACCGCAATATGCCAAACACATCCTGCAACTTGCTCAAATGTCCGAATGCAACGCCCTTGCCAATCCCAGCTGCACCAAATTACCGCAACTTGTGCCTCCCGATCCCATACTTTCCGATCCAAGCTTATACCGCCAAATTACCGGTTCTCTTCAATATTTGACCATCACTAGACCCGACTTAGCCTACTCGGTTAATGTTCTATCTCAACATATGCAAAACCCTCAACCTCCGCATACCTACCTCCTCAAACGACTCCTTTGGTACATTCGCGGCACACTTCATTACGGAATTCCTATCACCAAATCAGCTCTCACTCTAACATCTTATTCGGACGCTGACTGGGCAGGTGACCCCGTCTCTCGCAAATCCACATCTGGTTTTTGTTCTTTTTTAGGTACCACACTGATCTCGTGGTCAGTCAAAAAGCAACATACCGTCGCAAGATCTTCCACAGAATCCGAGTATCGGGCATTAGCAGCTGCTACCGCCGACATCCTCTGGCTTCGCCGAGTTCTTGATGACTTTGGGATCAACACGAACACACCTACCGATCTTCACTGCGACAATACTTCAGCCATAGCTATTGCAAATAATCCGGTTTTTCATGCTCGCACGAAGCACATTGAGATTGACCAAAGATTTATACGTGATCATATTCACAATAATAACATCAGGCTGCTACCTATTAGTACCATTGATCAAACCGCCGACATCCTTACTAAGCCATTAACTACACCACGGTTTCAGCTACTTCGAAACAAACTGACAGTAATTGAAGATCCATCAGCTTGCGGGGAGATATTAGAGTATAAAGCCAAACAACAACCAATACAAATATGACAGGTGTAAAGGCAGCAAGTAGCTTTCTTGTTTTATATTATTTACATCCGTGTACTAGTCTAGACTCTATAAATAGTCTCTGTAACTCTGCCCAAAGAGTATAACAAAAGTATCCATTTCTTTCTATCTTCTGGCTTTACGTTTTCTTCCTCCTCTGTTCTTTACACAAGAAAGACAACTTAGGTTGTCTGCTCTTTACACAAGAACAGCAATCTCAGTTGCTTGTTCTTCTACAATTACAAAGCATGATTAAAGTATAATATAAGTATATAACCAAAGATTTAACTTATTTCCTATTTTGTTATCTTTATAGGTTGAAAATAGGAGAGCAAGCAAATGGTGATAGCTCTAACACAAAAAATTTGAAAATTGAACAAAAAAATATATATATATTTCAATTTCATATTGGGCAAGTTAATAGTTCTTATAACATCACATGGAAAAAGTGTCAAGATTTAATGAATCAGTAACATGACATTAGATTTGTTATTACAAAACATTCTAACTAAATTAAAGAGATTATTGAACCTATTTAATTGCCAGTATTGTTTGTGTCTGATTTCTTTTACTCAAGGGTTCGCTCTTCAAGATCATGATTGATATGTCACTAAAAATCATCTTGATTAGGCACAAATTTGATAAGTGTAAATATTGTGTTAAATTTTTAGTGAAAATGTGTTGTTTTAGTTGTATTGTGAAGGAAAAATACATAAAAGGTATAAAATTTTAAGTTTCAAAAAGCGCCACGGTGTCAGAACAAACAACGACGCAGCACCATTAAGGCCACATCGCCGAAGAGCCAGAATATCGACATGGCAGCGCCAACTTCTTTGTTGAATACCACCATGGCGTCAAAAGTTCAACTTTGCAGCGCCGTGTGCTTTATCGTTAAGCACTGAAGAGCCAGACTAGATATCCCCTCAACGCCCAAATTGCTCTTCCGATGCCGCAACATTCAAAAGTTAGTAGTGCCACGACGTAATAAATGTAACTTCCAAGGACACTGTATGTCAGCAAAATGACACGATTGTTCACTAAGTAATTGATTAACATCAGTAAGCATCGCGACGAAACCAGAAAAGCAACAAAAAAATGTTAATTCATTTGTTAGGCGCAGATGCGTCGTCATTGCAAGCACCACAATGCTAGATGCCTACTTTGTATTTTCCTATAAATAGTCATTATGTTATGTTTGTTAGAGAGTTCAGTCACTTAAATAATTTCAGTATAATTCAAAGTGCTTCTCTGAAACTTCCTTAGAGTGACAACTAAGGGTATTTAGAGAAGTGCTTGATACGATCATCAGAGTGTTTGACTTTTGTTTGTGGAAGCAAATCTATAGTGTTGAGAGAAGGAGTGTAGAGGAGATCTATTGAACTAATCTAGTGATATCTATATCTTGTATTTTCTTTCTATCATGTTATTACTGAAAAAGAGTTTGCTTTAATTCTAGTCCATATATGACTAAATTCTCTTATTTTAGATTAATGATATAAGTATTATATGTAGTACTAATAATGCTCTTCTTCTTTAAATGATCAAAAAGTTATTTTCAATAATATCATATCTTCATTTAATGCACATAATGGTTATATGTGTAGTTAAAATTAGGTGTAATGTTATGTCTCGATGGAGGGAAGCAGGCATAACTAGGTATATTGAATTAGTATGCATCATACCTAGTTATAGGGTATGCAATGTACTAAATTTTTAAGTAGATATTACTATAGGAAGTATGTGGACATCCTTTGCTCCTATAAGCTCGAGAGAGATCTAAGAGTGCATATGCTCTGAGTAGCATCACAATTAAAAGAAATTCATTAGAAAAAATATGTTATTTACATTCATCAATTCAAAATATTATATCTATATAGTGTATTCATTATCTTTATCTAATTTTATTTAAGTGATTAAATATCTATAATATCTATTTTTATCGAGTAGATAATTGTTATAATTTTAGTAGACAATACTAGTTTTTACAACTGAGCATATCTTTCTCGTGGGATTTATACTCCACTCTATCACTATATTACTTTCTTTGGCACGTATATTTGTGTATATTAAGTTGAATTTTTATATATTTTTATATCAAAGAAAACCTAAGCATTATTAAGAATTGATAGAGCCCTAAATCATTTCACAATTCTATAGGTTACTCCACATCCCTCATTAGAATCTCAAAGCATATATGAGTTAACAACTTCCAAACTTAGTTTTGAGATCATCTGAATTCTAATTTCAGCAACTTATATTCAAATTGAATGTCTTAGTGAGACGAATCCAACAACACTAAAATCGGTCTAATTTGAGCCCAAACTTGCCCAAATCATGGGACTAAAGCATATTTGAAAGCTTAAGTGCATTTAGTGGATGACCAAATGATATCCTAATATAATATGTTTATAGACAAATGAAGTGGTTTGACAAGACAAATCCAACAATCCCAATATCACTTAATTTTGAAATCATTAAGACATTTGAATGCTGAACAAATGCTCCATGATCGAAATAATCTGTATGGGTCATCCGATGGACCACTATGAATTTGTCCTAGATCTTCTTCAAATTTACAGGGCACGCCACTCTCAAAATATATAAATTGACTCCCTCTTCCCACATGATGGAGGCTTAGACTATTAGCAAGACACTTAAGAGAGCTCTAAGGCTCGAAGCATCCTGGAGCTCCACCACAATACCATCACTAGCGAATCATTGCTACCAAGCAGCCGCTACTAGACCTCTGCCCGACCATTGTCATATAACATCCATCTAGCAATCATCACCGGGCTTTCGTCTGAGCATAGTTGCTCACTAATTACGATCCCTCCAACCTTTATCTCCTGACGACTACATTCCCACCGACCTCCATTGCATGTCGATTACAATCCTTCCAACCACAGTCACCCATCAAGTCTGGTCTGAACAGAAAGATTCTAAAGTAAAAGCAAGATGAATATATTGGATAGTCTGAAAACATAGTACAGGTGCCTATATATAGGCTTGGAAGCTATAGGTGCAACGTGTACTCAAGCTATTGGTTCATGCTAAATAAGGCAAGGTAATTAATACAGTAATCATAATTAATTAGTTCTCTAACACATTTAAGGCCAAATCACACTCACAACGCATACACATAGACTCGAACCATAGACTTCTTAGTTGGAAATAATGATCTTAAAAAATACTTCAAAAACATAATAAATTATTGCTTAAGGAAATCACACATGCCTCTGCATTGAAACTATGAATATTTTTATGAATGAATGGGTGAAGATTTATTTGAAATTTTATTAGATGAGTCTGATGATGTATGAATAAAAGAGCAAGTGGTTATATAAATATAAGTTTTTTTTTATATAATTTATCTTTTTATCAGATAAGTCAAATAAGAAAAAATTAAAACAAAAAATGATGTCCCAATCTGAGATGATTTGAAATAACTAATTTATATCCAAATATATACATAAAAATATTTTTTGATCTAATTTTGAATATTTATTTGATATTTTTAATGCTCGTATTTCACATCGTAACGTGTGAAAAGATATTTCTGCAATAAATTTTTCTTTTTTTAAACGGTAACTATTAAATTATAAATTATTTGACAAATTTATTACTTTTAAGATAATTACGTGCAGCTATCTATATCTAAATATAACCGGATAGGTCAATGCACCGACATCCTGACACGTGGCGGTTGCATCCAGCAACTTTTCTCTCTGGCCCTCTTACACAAAACTGCCCCGGGCTTTAAGCAGAACAACAGCATTTCTTCTAATCTCGCTATTGGACACGCTGTCCCCTCCTTACACTGCTCCCGCGAACATCTCACCGGTCGCTTGCCATTCGTCAACCCCACCTCTATCGCCCCTTTGGTCTCATCGAAAGATAAATCCTCGCAGCATTTCGAGGCATTCCATCGAACAGCGAGTGGGCGAGAGAGAAGAAAAACGATGACGTCGTCAGAATCCTCGCAGGAAGTTTTCATCGGCGCGCTCGATCAAGGGACGACGAGCACTCGATTTATCATCTACAATAGCGAGGCCAAGCCCATCGCTTCACATCAGCTGGAGTTGACCCAGTATTACCCCGAAGCCGGGTACTGTTCTTCGCTTGATTTTGATTTTCTTTTGTCTTTTTTCAAGGGGCCTTTTTTTAACCATTGTCGGGTCTGGGATTAGATGGGTGGAACATGATCCATATGAGATTTTGAAGAGTGTGAGGATTTGCACTGCGAAGGCGCTCGAAAAGGCCACCGCCGCCGGGTACAACGTCGAAGACGGGCTCAAGGCCATTGGAATCACGAACCAGAGGGAGACCATTGTTATGTGGAGCAAGTCAACGGGACTTCCTCTGTACAATGCGATCGTCTGGATGGACCTCCGCTGCAACTTAATCTGCAGGTTCGCTTCTTCTCATTCCTTCAGTTTATGATCTTTTGGGCTGTTTTGTGTAGGGCCCTGTCTTGGATTTCCATTTCTCTGCATTGAAATTGGGTAGAGGTTGTAAATTGATATTGTATGAGTTAAATGACCTAAATCCTTAATTAGGAACCATAGTGGTAGATCCTCAGCCTATTCGATTTGCCGATTTAATGTTGTGTTGTTTCAATTGCTGATTGTTTGATCCGCTAGATCTTTTGACAACATTTATGTAAATTACATTTCATTTCTAGTTTGATCTGATAGCTAGATTGGCGTTCAAAATATAGTATTGAACAAAAGAGAACACCGAGAACTTATTAGGCTTGCCGCTGAATAATACGAAACCAAAACAACTCCTTAATCTCTTTACTTGGAAGTTTGCAATGTTCTTTTCATTTGATTTATTCACGTTTCTGCATAATTTAACAGGAAGAATGACTGAGCTTAAACAAAGATGAATGAGCTCTAAAAGTAACCAGCTAAAAGGCCTTTTCATGTCTTGATTTTGTTAAAAATAGAGAAAAGTGGAATCTAAAGGCTCAATTTCCAAATGAATGAAACATTTTCCTTTAATTCTCCAGGAGTTTGGAGAAGCGTCTGGCTGGTGGAAAAAAACATTTTTTGGAGACCTGCGGCTTACCTGTCAGCTCCTACTTCAGTGCTCCCAAGATCCTATGGATGATTGAAAATTTGTATGGTGTTAAAGAAGCTATTCGAACTGGAGATTGTATGTTTGGTACTATTGACACCTGGGTCATCTGGAATCTCACAGGTGGTTGTGGTACTCCCTATGGGGATAAATATGTTCGAGGATTACATGTCACTGATTGCTCAAACGCATCTCGAACCATGCTCATGAACCTTAAGACCCTTGAATGGGATAGACCCACATTAGAGCAATTGGGGATTCCCTTTGAAATCCTTCCAAAAATTGTTAGTAATTCTGAACCCATTGGACTAATTGCCAATGGATGGCCCCTCTCTGGAATCCCCATTACCGGATGCCTTGGCGATCAACACGCAGCTATGTTGGGCCAGCTCTGCCTGAAGGGGCAGGCTAAGAGTACTTATGGAACTGGGGCCTTTATTCTCCTCCACACTGGTGAGGAGATCGTTCAATCATCGAATGGACTACTATCTACGATTGCGTACAAGCTTGGCCCCGATGCACCAACTAAGTATGCGTTGGAAGGCTCTATTGCAATCGCTGGCGCTGCAGTTCAGTGGCTTAGGGATGGTCTTGGGATTATCCAGACCGCATCAGATATTGAAGAGTTGGCTGAAACAGTGGTAAATACAGGAGGGGTGTACTTTGTTCCAGCATTCAATGGACTGTTAGCACCATGGTGGAGGGATGATGCTAGAGGTGTATTGCTTGGCCTTACGAGGTTCACAAATAATGGACACATTGCCCGGGCTGTGCTGGAGAGCTTGTGCTTTCAGGTGAAGGATGTGCTTGATTCGATGCACAAGGATTTTGACAATTCAGGTGGAGATTTCTTACTTCGGGTCGATGGCGGCGCAACAGTTAATAATCTTCTGATGCAGATTCAAGTATGTTTGCAGTCCCCTTTTTTTTTATCTTTTTAGCAACTACTTTATGTTTGGTGTGATTAATTTTTCTTTTGGTTTACATGCTATGTCCATGCTGCTATTTGGATTCCTTTTGCTATTTTTGTTGGGCGCACTAACTTTAATAGCTTTCCATGTCTTAAGATGACTATTGCATTTTTCAAGCTTGATGATCAAATTAAGCATGCTAATCTTTTACATAATTTGAGGAACTTGACCTCTTCAACAAGTTATTAAACCTCTTATTTGAGTTTATTTTTCCAAGGGAGGGTCACCTAAAAGAATACTAAATTCCGGCAAATTTTTCTTGGTTTACTAGTTTTCTAATAACAGTTGAACTCACTGATTTTGAAAAGCTTTGCTGGATTGAAAGTCCTTAAATTTGAGTTCACCTCACTAGCATACTAAACTCTTATTTGTACATGCCCCTTTTTTTATTGCATAAATAAATTGAAAAGTGTACGCAATTCCATTCACACACGCCCCGACCCACATAGTTTATTAAGTAAAGCAATTGTGAATATTTTCGGCCTCTTTAGTTGTTTCTCTTTTTCTTTTTCATATTTTCTTACTTCTTCAGTTGCACAATTTACCTCAAAGTAGCTATTTGGTTTCCTTTAATTCTTATCTTTTGTTGATCCATGCTTTCCTTTAGTTTTCTTTGTAATCCGCATTTTCTAGCAATACGTCTTGATTCAATTTGTCCATACATTACTTATTGCAATAAGAAATTTTTTTCTCTGCAGTTTACTTAATTTTAGGTTTTTATTCACTTCTTGCAGATTTTTTTTTCTCAGTGTGTGCTAGTATTGTTCATTGTCGTTTCTTAAAACTTAACATTGTTATAAATAATTAAGTATTAATGTATTACTGGTTAGAATGGTATAATTTCATAACAATATCATTTTTAAGTTCGACCATCTTCTTCTCTATTCCCCATCAATCATGTTAGGATTTTCATTGAATGTTATCTCAATCTATGCTCATTTGCCTCCGGATGGATAAAAATTTCATGATTATATCATTGCGCAAAGAGAGGATCAAAACATTGTAGATTCTTATATATATAGTTTTGTGGTGTCATTGCGCAAGCATAGAAATGATGAATGCGCCTAGGATGGGTTTCTCTTAACTTTTATTCTCACATATTTCTTGAATTCTTAGAATAGACAACAAAATAGTGAACTAATGTGCACCCATATTCACTGATCAAGTTGATTAAGTCATTATAAGAACTTGAAATGGTTTCAACAAGCTTGAAACAAATATGGATCTGAACTCAACAAGCTTGAAGTCGCCCAAAGCATCAAATATCCTGGAACTGAATCTTGTCAAGTTGCCCATGAGAACTTTAACTCAGCCCTTGGTGCTGACTACTGAGCTACTAAACTCGTCAAAAGGACTCACTAATTTGCTGATTAATGAAAATGCTAAATTATAAAGCTTCGATGTTTAAGGAGAGATCCACAAATGAAAATTTATTTTCCTTCTCTTTATAATGTGTCTGCAATATTATTGTAACAATGACTTATAGTCTCTGCAAATGCTCGAAATTCCATCTTCAGTTTCACTATTACTACTCACCATCATTCATCGTGTTCATGTTTTACTCATCGAAAAAAAAGTATCATTCTTTCAAGAAAACAAAATCTCAAAGGAGATGCTTTTTCCGGCATCTTTTATATCATGGCTATCATCTTTGAGCTAGTGCTAAAACGAAGCCTAATAGATGCTGAACATTATGAATTGTTCCAAAGTTTTGAATTTCTCAGGCCTTTAAAGCAAAAATCAGCTTGATGCAAGAAATTTGTTATAAGAAAAGCAGTCTAGGAAGCACCTTTTTGGAGACCTTATTTCCCAGTTAACATCTTCACTTGAAAATTGCAATGAAACCAAATTTCAGGAATACTTTGCAATGAGAAAATTCCTATATATCCAAGCCGAGTGCATATTGTTCCATGGAGTTAAGGCCAAAAAGATGAAAGAAACAAGTATTTTCACGACTTACCATCCGGCCAATTCTGTCTTACCTCATTCCCTTTTTATGGGGACATATCTTTATGACTAAGGAATGGGGAATCTCTCTCCTGTTACATGAATCAAATGTTTTATTTCATCCGGGAAAAGTCATCTCTTTCTTAACAATGTCTTTGTCATTTGATCCCCAATAGCGATAAGATATTTCTTTACCAGGAAAACATTAAGCATTCTCAGCCATTGTCTTGTCTAGATGCTTATTAACATTATATAACTGGATTTTTTCTTAATTTCCTTGATCTGTCTTATTATGGAGAAATTATTACATGTGGAGTCTGGACGGGGAGAATCGTCCGGATTTGTTGTGATTTACTGAGTATTTGTTGCGTATTCGCAAATACTCATTAAATACTCACAAAATACTCAGTTGTGAGTATTACTGAGTATTTTGTGAATATTTACTGAATATTTTGTCAGTAATCGCTCAGTATTTTGTGAGTATTTGTTGATTTACTGTGTATTTACTGAAATACTCAATAAATAAGCAGCAATCTGGACTGTTATTCTCGTCCAAAGTCCGCACAGAATAATTTCTCTTTATTATGACGCTAAAGCAAGAATTTCATCCCACTTGTTTATTTATGATTATGATAAGATTCCCGTCAACATATTTCCAGGCTGATTTCTTGGGGAGCTTGGTTGTGAGGCCAGCAGACATAGAAACAACTGCCCGCGGTGCAGCTTATGCAGCCGGATTAGCCATTGGTCTCTGGACCGAAGAGGAAATCTTCTCAAGCAAAAACGAAGAGAATTCTACCACTTTCATCCCCAATATGGATGCAGAGAAACGTAAGAAAATGTGTGAGGCATGGTGCGAGGCTGTCTCCAGGTCTTTTAATCTGGCTTTCCTTTCCTGTTAACTCTTTCACTCTTCGTTTGTCGTACAGCTAAAGCTCTCCATTTCTTTTTCTATGTTCTAAAATAAAATTCTCTGGTACATCATAAGTGTGATTGACAAAGTTTCTCTTGTGTTGTTATATATATAATATAATCAAATGTGATATTGGTTTGTGTGGTGCAGAGAGCTTGTTCATGGCATTAGTGTTTGTTTATTTTTCCTGAGATTTTCTTTTTCTATTATGATAATTTGATGGTTGGGATTATTTATATCTTCTGAAAAATATTGAACTATCATAAAAAACTGCCTTATATAATTGAAATTTAAGTTAATAATTATTGCTAGAAAAGATATATATAATTAATGATTTTAATGAGTTTTTGTACTTGGGATAAAGATTATAAGTTAAAGTTCTATTGGGATTTTTCTTTGAGAATTTTTTTTTTTAACTTCGAAGTCAATTAAGACAAATTTCAAATTTAAAATCTCTTAGTAAGTAATTAAAGCTCACAATCAACAAATTAAGATGAACTACATAACTACATTGGGAATGATTCTATTGTTGAATGCTCTCCATTTTCAAAATATTTAAAGCTTATTGCAACCAAATTGAGATTTCATTTAAGACAGCTTTTTTGTTGCTTCTTATAATAATTTTTTAATATAAAAATTTTAATTTTCATACTAAAATTTTATTTTAAAAAGAAATAAAAAAATTATCTCAAACAAAACCTAAATCACCATTTGATTCCCATAGAGAATATTTAAACCTTATTGCTACTTTATTGCCTTGTTGCTTTATTATTTCTGAAAAACATAAGTCATTAAAACTTGTTTTAAATCTTTAAATCTATACATAAATAAGAATACAATATAAATTATTTATTTATTACATTTATCTTAAAATAGATCCAACAACTTTTAGTTGTGCAATGACTATAGAAGCAGGAAAATAACCATCGAAGAACATCAAAAATAGACAATTCGTGACTGGATAAAATAATGAAAACAAGACATGCATCCATTACCCAATAGTCTTATAAAATCATCAAGATAAAAACTTAAATAAGGAGCATAAACTACAAAGAAGTCAGATAGATGATAAAAGTACCGCCCCAAATGTGAATAACTTATCCTAATCTAAGGCAAAGCCACAAAAAACCTTAATCTAACAACAACAGCCACAATGACAATTCCTTGCGCATGGGGAAGAGCTAATGGTGATGGAGCCATTTAACATGGTCACTAGATCACCTCCTCTTCTTAGGAGGAGGTTGGTCTTCCTCATCCTCTTCGTCGTCCTCTTCATCCTCGTCCTCACCATCCTCCTCATCATCTTCATCATCATCGTCCTCATCATCATCACTTCCTCCGCCTGCACCAGCTCCGCCTGCACCAGCGCCATTCGGCTCAAGTTCATCCTCTTCATCGTCCTCTTCATTCCCTTCTTCGCCGGAGTAATCTTCTTCACCACCATCATCATCTTGCTCCCCACCATCCTCGTCATCCTCATCCTCATCATCCTCATCTGACTCGCCATCGTCCTTGTTCTCGGGCATAGATTCACCTTTGATCCTCCTTAGAGATGATAGGGGAAACCTACAAAAACCAGAAGAAGAATGAAGTTCCAAACAAGCCAAAGAACTTGTTTTACATATCAAAGTTCTAATTAGACATTGGAAACCTACCCTTTGATTATCTCGCATCCTCCGCCAAATAAGTCTGCTCCATTATGTGTAGATTCAATCTGCATCAAGAAAATAAACCGCTCATTGATAGCTTAGAATAGGTTGCAACATAATTCTACAGCCAAGATTGCCTTGCTTGTGCCTCGAAACACGAGAAATTAAAACCAACCATTAAACTACATGCAATATAATGTTATTGATAGGAAAAGGGTCGTTACTTATAAGGTTTATCGTAGCAGACATAAAACCAAAATAGACAGAAACAATGGACGATAAATAATAAGCAAGCAAGATTACATAAAAAAAAAAAAAATCTCAAAACATCAGACCACACATAGGCTTTCATTTGGGACGATTTTTTTACCGCTTCTTAAAGCAGCTTTTTCGTGCAAAAATTTTAATTTCTATTTAAGAAAGCTACTTTAAGAAACATTAAAAAAGCCGTCTCAAACAAAGCTGTATTCTACATAGAAATAAATGATTACCATAAATGTTTATTTAGCAACAACGACAAAATGCTATCATAAACGGTAAAAATTCTATCTAAAAGCATCATCATTTCATGAATCGAATGAAGAATACAACAACAACAACAACAACATCAAGCCTTTATCCCACTCCGTGGGGTCGACTACATGAATCCTTTTTCTCCATTGTGTTCTATTAAAAGTCAAATTCTCGTTTAAATCTAATAAAGAAAGGTCATTCCTAATATTTCTAACCAAGTCTTTTTAGATCTACCCCTACCTTTCTTAACACAAGTCAAATCTAATACCTCTACTCTCCTAACCGGGTCATCACAAGGCCGCCGTTTTATGTGACCAAACCATCTAAGGCGACTCTCTCTAATCTTATCTTCTACTAGAACTACTCCAACCTTTTCACGTATATGCTCATTCGTATCCTATCTCTAAGGGTAAAGCCACTCATCCACCTGAGCATCCTCATCTTTGCCACACTTAATTTAGTATTATGCTTCTCTTTTAATGGCCAACATTCGGCACCATAAAGCATTGCAGGCCTCACCACCATCTTATAGAATTTTCCCTTAAGTTTGAGGGGTACATTTCTATCACATAACAAGCCCGATGCATTCCTCCACTTCAACCATCCAACTTGAATTCTGCTGATAATATCCCCATCTATTTCACCATCACTCTGAACAATAGATCCAAAGATGATATCATCCACATAAATTTGAACAATGAGTATTTTCTTTCTAAATTTCTTTAAGAAGAGAGTTGTATCCACACTTCCTTTTTCAAAAGATCTTTCAAGTAGGAAAGTGCTCAATCTCTCATACCAAGCCCTAGGTGCCTGTTTCAATCCATATAATGCCTTTTTTAACTTAAAAATATGATTTGGGTATTT